CTGCGCTACGCACAGTGTTGACATTCGTAGCTAGCCTTTCAGCGGGGAGACCTGCGTTGACATTTGGCTATGTGCCGACTAAGACAGGTACGCTTCAGATGACAACGGCAAGCCGCCTATCTCCAAAGTTACACTTGGCTGTACAATATCTCATCAGAAACTTCTCCCGTATCGAGAATGTTGTTTCGGCCAGATTAGCCAAGAGCATTCATAAGCTACCCGCGGTTACTTATGTCGATAGTTACACATTGGTTCGTTACGATAACGATGTGAATCCACGATTCCACTATTATGAAGCAGAAGGTACTGCTCTGAACATATACGATATAACTGGATCAGCACAGTCACGTGTCATTCTAAGCCTGAAGCCCATCAAACCTCAGGCAGGCTTCGAGCAGGATGTCAAAGTTTGAAGACTTGGCGGATGCGCCGCCACCTGAGGGAGCCGCCAGAGAGGCTTCAGAGGCCGAGCCAGAACATGATGACGGACGGCAATCTACGATCTGCGAAGAATCAGAAGCTGATATTGAGTCACATGTTATGGAGGTATGGTACGCAGAGTTGCGAGAGGAAAAGGAATTGCTGGAGGCAGCTCCACCAGAAGAACCCTTTACCGTACCCGCACAGATGATTCCTGACCAGAGTGCGTTGATCACTGTAGCTGGTGAACATCGGTGGCACCTGCCGAAGTGGGGACGCACTCGTGATCCTGATACTGAAGAAACGTACTTCGCTTCCTTGTGCACCCTGGTCGAAGACGACAGCTATGGACTCGACTCTGACGAGAACGGGCCATGCGTCGAACTCTGCTTTACAACAGAGATGTCAAAGGTCGTCTTGTCCGAGCAGCAACAGATGCTGTTAAACGTCGACCGGGTGACCACCATGCGAGTGTATGTTGCTGCCGCTGCAAAGCGAGCTGTGGTCGTCAAGGAAGACGACCTCCTCACTAAGGCTGACATCCAGGCGAATCCCGAGAAAATGCCGAAGGCCCTTTTCACCTAACTCAAGACAATAGATGCTTAAATGCAGGAGATCGCCAAAGCGTCGAACATCATGACTTCGAGATATGCACACAAATGGGAAAAGCGTTAAAAACGACGGGGGGGGGGGGGGGGGGGGGGGGGGGGGGGGGGGGGGGGATGGAACGCACCATCCGACTTCGTCTGGTATTTCGGGGCTTCATGGATCTAGAAGCTTTCGATGTAGAGACATTTCCGGGAACAGCCAGAATGTCGAGCCAGAGGTTACTTGCCAGCGCGGCAGCGTGCAAGAAACAGTGGATCATTGCTTCTCTGGACATCAACGTGGCCTTCCTCAAGGGATTGACCTATCGAGAACTCGCCGAGGCAACTGGTGAAAAGAGGCGCGCGGTGTGTTTTACCTTGCCGCCTGGGTCGGCAACTGTGCTCCGTGCTCTTCCAGGGCTTGAGAACTACGACGAGTCAAAGCACTGCTCACAGTGCTTGAAGCCGGGCACTGGCACTAAGGACGCCCCACGGGCTTTCTCACTGAAGCTCAGGAGAACCACCGGAGGATTTGGCCTCCGACCCACGTCTTACGACGAGTTGTTTGAGACGAGCACTAATTTGCTCACGGCCCAACATGATGACATTAATATGGCCGGTACTGAGGACACCATTGACAAGTATGTCAAATGTGCTGAGGATACCTTTGGCAAGTGTAAATTCAACAAACACACATGCACGAACTGTGCTGTGGTGTACACCAAGGATGAGGACGGCAATGTCATTTTGGATCAATATGAATACATAACAACTCCGTCCAATACAACATCCGGAATTGACCGGCGCGGACGCTGACGCTCAAGCGACCAAGATGGTGGCAGATATGTTCGTCAGCTTCAGAGGTGCGCTGGCATACGCATTGATCACCCAGATCTGGTTGATGCTCTACGTGGTATCCCTCCAGCGTGTCCAAGAACCGACCAATATTCAAGTGCGACGATTAAACGCGATCACCAAACATTGCAGGCCTGCCCGAAGAAGATCGTCTACCAGGCGATGAACCCCACGGGCGAAGTCGACCTACATAGCGACTTAGGCTATCGACGCCTGAGTGGAGACGCCGATGACGACGTCAAAGGCTATGGCATTCGCGGGGCAAACCTGCTAAGACGTGGAAACACGTCTTCTGGCAAGCCTGTCGTTCACTTGATTGATGCGCACTGCAAGTCTCACCGCTTGCACGTCCGCTCAAGCTAGTCAGCAGAGACACTTGCAGCAGCCCAAAATTTGGAGGACTGTTATCCCACGATTGTGACTCTGCACGAGCTCCATGCGGGGCCATTCGCACCCACTCAGTTGAAATATATACTTGAGTTGGGTGGCCTGTGCATCAAGGTCACTCTGACCATCGATGCTGAGTCTGTCTTTAAGTCCTCGTCGAGCAAAGACTTGAAGAAGTCGACTGGGTGTACCCTTTTAGGACGCATCAGTTGGATACGACAGATGATGGAGCGCGGAATCGTGCATCGTATTCAGTAGTGTGATACCCGCGATATGACTGCGGAGATAGACGCACAAAAGGGAGCATTGACAGAGAAATGCCCCTACAAGTCATTGGAGGTATACAGACCTTCAAACATGACCTGAAGAGACATACGCCATAGCGGGCCGGCCAGACATCAAGTTCTGACGCCGCCTGATGCGTATGCCTACGTTCGCGAGGCAACTCGCTGACGGGTCCAACTCCTTTGGGTCCGTCTCCTTTCCTGTCTTTGTATAGGCTAACTGCTGAATTGTTCTCGTTTTATAGGTGGCGGACGCACGCTTCGTCTCCCTTCCCCCCCCGATTTGAAAGTGAACTGAGGGACGTGAGGAGCGGAAGCGAACGTGCGCCCGCGGCCGTCTTGGTTCAAGCGGCCCGCCGCCTGAATTTGACTGTGCCTCACCGCGAGACACACTATCGCTTTCGATACTAAAAGGCACCCCCTTTTACTTGACATGGCTTCCCCTCTTGCATTGGGACCATCGCTACTACGATACAACCGAGTTTGAGCTTGGCTTCGCCTGAGGCGAAGCTGCTGGCGGGGCCTCCCAGCCCCCTTCAAACTGCCCGCACAGCCAGTGCTGATTTCTGCGGCTGACATTCTCAGTGTTCGCCGTGCGCGCACGGGGAAACGAACCTGAACCCACGATTCCAGACGGCGGACATTTTTTCAAAATACTTACATTTTGGAGCTGTGGGCGTCTTGGGGCGAGATGTGGTGCGTTTCGGGGCCCTCTTGGACAGTGCACCCCGTGCTCGCGAAGGACTTCCCCAGGGCCCTTTGCAATCGCGGCACCGCCCGCCCTGGGTCGTATTCGAAGCCTCGTACAATGTTTCGAGGTATTTTTGGTGTCCTGTGGGACCGTCGTGGCGCGGTCGTGGGAACGCTGTGGGCTGAAAGTAGCGTCTGATAACAGAAAAAGTGGGAGCCCGAAGCACGATCGAAACCCGTGGGACATTGACGGACGTGGCCCCTTGAAGCCCTTTTGGGAAATTGTGTGGGGCCCTCGTCGGATGTGTGCGGGGATTCTGGGGCCGCTTTGGAGCCGTCGTGCCCGTCTTGTTGGGGCGAAATGTGGTGCGTGCGGGGACCCTCTTGGACAGTGTGCCGCGTGCTCGCGAGGGGTCGCCCCCGGGCCTCCACCAATCGCGGCACCGCCCGTACCGCCAGTGGTGATCTCCGCGGCTGACATTCTCAGTGTTTGCTGTGCACGCATGGGGAAACGAGATGTGGGGCGTGTCAGGGCCCTCTTGGGCAATCTACCGCGCGCTTGCGAGAGATTCCCCCGGGGCCCACCGCAATCGCGTCACAGCCCGCACTGGCAGTAGTGATTTCGGCGGCTGACATTTTCAGCGGTCGCCGTGCGCGCATAGTGGAATGGGCGAGAACCCACGTGTACAGACGGCGGGCATCTAGGAATTTCTCGTTCGCTTCCGTTCAAAAATTTTGGTCTTGGAGTGTTCCCAGGTCGCCGGGCTGGTGCGGGGGGGCATTGTTGCGGTAAGAACGAATGCCGCACGAAGGGCCCGCGCGTCGAGACATTGGCAACATGCTGAGGTGGTTCGGTCCGCTTGTCATCGTCGCAAGTCTGCGTTCCGAGACGACCAAATTTGACATGGTCTGGCCCGTTTCGCTTGAAGCATCCTCGCAATTCTGGGCTCCCGGACGCTACGCGAGAGGTGGTCCAGCCAATATCGCTTAAAATATCCTATGAACTTCTGGGTTTGGGGATATTGTGACCTGAGGTTGCCTCGTCAGTTTCGCTTGAGGCATCGTCACTACGCTAGGCTTGAAGATGCCGCCCGCGAGGTGATCCTGTCAGTTTGGCCTGAGAGGTCCCCGCGATTCCAAGCAACCGTTGAGGAGTGCGAAGCGGAGAAGGAGTGGGAAGAGGATGATGAGGAGTAGCAGGATGATTGAAGACGAGGGGGAGGAAGGATTAGGCTCGTACTCTTGTTTTAAACGCTCTCGAGACGCTTCTCGTCGCCAGGGCTGGACGCGGCTTTATCGTGTCTGGTGATGCGGGCTGGTACTCTGCCGACGATGGATGTGTCACGGGCCCGTTCGCGCCTAAAGTGTGAGGATGTTTCGAACGGTCCGTTTGTTTTAAGGGGTGGAGGTGTGTTTCGGTGCCGGATGGTCCTCGCTGGCCACGTCGGTTGGCTTCGGGCTTACTTTGGCTGGCTTGGAGGCCTCTTGGGACGCCTCTTGGGGGCTTTTTGGAGCGTCTTGTAAGCTTCTTGGGTCGTCTGGAGGTCAGCGTGAGCGCATTGAATCGATCTTTCGGCGACTCGTGGGGGACCCGCCCTCCTAAATCGACCGGGAGGGGTTTGGGGAGGGGAAACTATTTCACACGCCGATGGACCCAAGGGGTCGGCGGATTCCCAACCTCTTGTCGGTCCGGCACGATCCAGCAGTCCCCCAAGACCTCACGCTGCCGCCAGAGCAGCCGGTCGCGCTGAACCTCTTGCACCAATATGAGAAGTCAATGAGCGAGCTCGGCCGGGCGAACTCGTCCGCCGGTTGGTCTTTTGGTGCGCTGGCCCTGACGCACCCGTGCGCCATCCAGTGGGAGATGATGCTCCGGGTGGCCAACAAAAAGGGAAAGCCCATCCTCTGCAAGGCCACGTGTGACAGGAAAAACGGCTTGGGCTTTGTCGTCCACCTGCCCGCCAAGGACGGAGATCTGCCAGACTTGCACCCGGTGGTGGTGGCTGTGGCTGCCACGGTCCAGGGCACCGAGACCCCGGGCCGTGCCTTTCCGTCCGGCGCGACGGTGATCAGCGCCGCGCACCTCGGTTTTGCACTGGCCGCGGCGAGCTTGGAGGGCGCGGGGCCCGCGGGCAGCGGCCGCTTCGGGCTCAGCGTCGGCGGCGCCTCCGGCGGGTTCCTGCAGATCCTCCACCGCCGCCTCCGGCTGCCCGCAGGGTGCCTGGGCCCGCCGTGGTGGGAGGCTGTGCGGCGCCTGCGCTCAGCACTCCGGGCGGCCCTGGAGCACGGGGAGGACGCGGCGCCCCCTGGGGCGTGTGCTGGGGCGCCGGTGCTCTTGGCGGACTCCGAAGAAGAATCGGGTGCGGCTAGAAGCGCCCCAGGATTTCTGGGGTGGCCCCCACGGCCTCCAGAGCACCTCTCACGAGGCCCAGAGGGCCCCAGGGGCTCCAAGATGGAGCGAAAAGCTCGGGGCACCTTGGGCCAGGGGCACATCCAGCAGCACCCGAGAGAAGATCTGCATAAGCAAGGAGGGTCCGAGCTCGGCGTGGGTTTCTTGGGTCTGCGCTGGGCCCTCCTGGCGGCGCCTCCTGGCGGGGTCCAGCACTTATCCAGGACGTCCGCGCGGACCTCTGAAAGTTTCTGCTCATGCTGGGTCTTGTTCTTCTCGGGCCAGACGAAAAGGGGGCGATAGGGAAGGGGGGGGGTCGGCTCCGCCGCCGGGCCCATTCGTCGATACTTGGGCGCCCGAAGGCGCCAGGAAAACCAGCTACGTGAGCTGATTCTCTACCCTACCCTTTACTATTCTACCCTGTCGCCCACCCCGATAGGACAGCCCGCTGGTGCGGCGCTCCGTGCAGGCCCTCGCCGAGGCTGGCCACGCGTTCAAGGGCCTCCCGGGAGCTGACGTTGGCGAGGCGGCCGGAGGCGGCGTCGTGCCGGTGGTGGAGAGCGCCAGGGTCGCCGCGGGCTCCGTGGCGGCCTTGCAGCCCCTGGCATCCTGGGAGGCGCTGGTGATGCAGCGCCAGAAGAGCGTCCAGGCAACCTTTGCGTCCAAGAAGGCGGCGCAGAAGGCAGCGCATAAGGCAGCGCTGAAGGAGGCGCAGACTACATCTGTGTCCAAAAAGGCGGCGCAGAAGGCAATCCGTAAGGCAGTCCGGAAGGCAATCCGTAAGGCAGCGCGGAAGGAGGCGCAGACTACATCTGTGTCCAAAAAGGCGGCGCAGAAGGCAATCCGTAAGGCAGCGCGGAAGGCAATCCGTAAGGCAGCGCGGAAGGAGGCGCAGACTACATCTGTGTCCAAAAAGGCGGCGCAGAAGGCAATCCGTAAGGCAGCGGGGAAGGAGGCGCACCAGAATCGCACCCAGAGGACGGTGCCACCAGCTCCCCCCACGGTGTCAGAGGCGGTGCGCAGAGTTTGCTCCATGTCCGAAGGAGGGGACCTTGCTTCAGTAGGGTTCGCTTTGGTGCCCATCGGCAAGAAGCGCAAGCAGGTCCTCGCGCACCCGGCGGAGGGCCTCGAGATCGTTATGCTCCAGGCGAAGTGCGGCTTGAATGTCGGCGACAGGAGCCATGTCACCCGCGTGGTCCAGGACAAGAAGAACAAGCTCCACGGCATATCGAACGGCGGCGGTGGCGAGCTTGTCGGGAGCGAGTGCGGCAGGGTATGGGCGTTCACAGGGCCGGGCGGCGCGCCCGCTGGCGGACGCTACCACGAGAGCTTGTCGGCTGCCAGCGAGGCGAGCCCGGCGCCTGGCGCGTGCACGGAGCGACCGGGTCCTGCCCACGCGGCGGAGCGACGGGATGCTGCCAGCCCTGCGGACGATCATGTGACGGGAGCCAGCTCTGGCCACGAAGTCTCGAGCCTGGTGGTTCTTGATAATGACGTCTACTCCCTGTGCCAGAACCTTTCCTCGGGAATGGGGTCATTTCACAAGGAGGAGGTCTCTGTGTGCCAGGCTCTCTTAGAAAGGGCGCAGCACGTCTGCAAATTCTCCGAGAAGCAGAGGAAGCGCCTCTACGCATTCATTGGACGGGCCACGGGCGGGATCCCAAAGAAGAAGAAGAAAAAGGCTGAGAAGTACACTGGCCAGGGGATGGCGCCAAAGCACCGTGACATGCTGGAGCAGTTGCAAAAGGCGGTTGCCGCAAGGGAGGGCGCTGCGACCAGTGGCGCGAGCGCCAAGCGGCAGCGAACAGAGGAGGCGGAGAGGCCAGGCGCCGCCAAGCAGCAGCGAACAGAGGAGGATGCTGCAGCCCTGAAGGCGGCCGACGGGAACGCAGAGAAGGCCTTGCAGATGCTCCAAGGCGCTTCGGCGGCTGCCATGAGGCGGGCGGCGATGGAAATGCGGGCTAAGCCTTGGCCTTCTGCCGGCTCCTCCGCCTTCGCTTCGGTCTCCGTGGAGAGCGTTAGATTTGGGAATCTCAAGGCGATGATGGGACAGCAGGCGGAGCCACCGGGGGAGAAGCCAGGCAGAGAGGAGGAATCGGCTTGCGAGAAGGACGGCAGAGGCGCTGGCGACGAGGAGCAGAAAGATAAAGACGACGCCTCGCCACCGCCAGGCTGCGGCGACGAGGAGGGCGAGGAAGAGGTGCCTGATGGATGCGGGACGGCGCCCAGCGAGGACGACGCGATCGAGGAGGATGAGGAAGAGGAAGAGGCGGAAGTCATCGTGGACGTGGACGCCGCGCAATGGGACTTCGGGGCCGCCTTTTCGGACGAGGGAGACACGCCCGAAGCTGCCCTGGGGGCCTCTGAGGAAGAGGAAGCGGCCGACGGTCTGCAAGCGGAGATCAAGCTGGCCGTGCCGATGACCCAACACCCTGCGTGTGAGCCGGCGGCACAGGGCCACCTTGCAGATCGGCTCAGGCTCTTCTACCAGAAGCACGATCCTGACAAGTTGGAGCGCGTTGTGCAGGTGGCGAGAATATCCAGGTGCTTGCGGCAAGCTTGCCACCATGCCAGCGAAGCAGTCCGTGTGGCGCACCCCTGGTGATTGCCCACAAGAACTTCACGCGTGACCATTATAGTCCTTGGGCCCAGAGGAGCCGTGACATGCGACGCAGTCTTGTGTAGGCTCGACAAGATCGTGTCGGTTGAGAGTTGTCCACATCAGGACCCAGAGAGCTGTACATCTGACGCCTCTTTGCCTCAAGTCCAAGTGGGCCGTAGTGTGCAACAGCTCGCTGCTTTTGTGAAGAGCGGCCCGTCACATGTACGGAGAGAGGGAGGGGGAGACGGGGGAAACAGAGACAGGCGGAACGTCGCCCTCCACCTGGGCATTGAGAAATACCTCCCGGATATGCACGCATCCTTCGTTTCGCCGTCCGGATTATCGGCCGACGCGCCTGAGCCCGGTGGCCATCTATTGTATTTATGGGTGGTTGCCCGAGATGCGGAGAGAGAGAGAGAGAGAATGAAAGAGAGAGAAAGAGAGAGACAGAGAGAGAGAGAGAACACACACACACACACAATCGACGCATCTCATATTTACATACAGATAAGAGACAGGTGCAGAGAAGGAGAGAGAGGGAAGGAGTGAGGGAGGGGTACGGGCGACCACAAGCAGACATCCAGACATGGGGGGGAGCACGGTCGACCCCGCCCCCTCGTCGTCCTCTTCCTCCTCAATCCTCGCTTCCTCCCCCTTCCATCACCTTCTTCCCCTTCGGCCCTCCCTTCTCCTCCACCTCCTCGTGTTCCCCCCTTGGCTTTTCTGGATTCCTGGCCGCCTGGGCTGCGGGTCCCCTGGCCCCTCGGAATTTCAAAGTTTGTGAAACTCGAAAGTTTGTAATTTTTGTGGGCAGTGAATGTTCTAAGTATTGGTGAGTTTTCTTTTCGTATTCTGGGGCTCTGGAGATTTCTGGATTCCTGGCCGCCTGGGCTGCGAATCCTCCAGCACATGGGGATTTCAAACATTTTACATGTTGTAAGCTTTAAGTGTTTCTAACTTTGAAGTTCTAGGAGTCTGGAAATGTATGGATTCCTGGCCGCCTGGGCTGCGAATCTTCCGGCCCCTGGGGCTTTCATTTTTCCGTATAGACATGCGTCAAAGCGTTCGAAACGTTAGAAGGTTTGACAGCTCTCTGTTGTTAGAAATATATGACCTGAAGTTGTGGGGTTCGGGAGACTTCTGGATTCCTGGCCGACGGGGCTGCGAATCCTCCAGCCCATCGGGTTAACAGCAAATCTTTAAAACAGATTTTGAAAATTCTAAGACAGTAGCTTTTTGCTAAAAAATGGAATGGGGGTGCCTGGAGATTTCTGGATTCCTCGCCGCCTGGGCTGCGAATCCTTTGGCCCCTGAGAATTTCTGGAGGTCTCTTCGGGGCAGCCTGGATCCGTGAGCCTAGTGGTCGCCTCTTTGAGGCTCGGCGGCAGGCTCGGGCACCATGCTGGAGGGAGGACCAAATCGTACCCTGAGCCCACCCTGTGGTTTGGCCGTCTTGGAGGCGTCTCGGGCTATTCTTTGGCGGCCGGGGGGGGTTTCTCGATGCGAGTTCGAAGACCTTTTGGAACAACCATTAACTCTTTTCGAGTACGTTTCGGACCGCCGGGGGGCTATTCGAAAGCATGGTTACCAGGATTAAACTCGCTAGATGCTCAACTTTCTCAGATACCCTCAACGGGATGATACCGAGATCACTTCTTTGAGCGTTCATAAATATGTGGTGTTGGTTTGTTGTGGTTTTAGCGTTTCTCGGAAGTCTCGTCGGGGCTGCCTGGGAGCCTTTTTAAGGATCTTGTGGAGCTGTTCTGGCGGGGGCATCCATGGGCCTCGTGGGCGCCTCTTTGGGGCTCGGAAGCAGGCTCGGGCGCCATGTTGGAGAGATGACCAAATCGTACCCACAGCCCCTTCTATGTTTTGGCCGTTTTGGAAGCTTATTGTACAATTCTTGGCGGTTCGGGGGGGCCTCTTGAGGCGATCTTGCGGACTTTTTGTCTCTGTAGGTGTCTGTCACTGTCTTTGTCTGTGTGTTTGTTTCTCTCTTTCTCTCGCGCACTCTCTCTCTCTCTGTCTCTGTCACTGTCTTTGTCTGTCTCTTTCTGTCTCTCTCTCTCTCTCTCTCTCTCTCCCCCCCCCGTAGCTAAAATCAGCATGAAGGGGGCGGAGACGAGAGACAGCAGGGGCGCCGGTGGGAGGGGGGAGAGAGGGAGGGGAGAGGAAGGAGGGAGGAAGAGGAGGGGGAAGAGGGGGAGGAGGGGAGTGAGGAGGGATGGAGGGCTTCCATTTCTATCCCCCTGCTGACTGCTGTATTGGCTGAGGGAGGGAGCGCTCCTGCACCCTCCCCCTTCTCCCTCTCCCTCCCCTCGCCTCTCCTCCCTTCTGCTGCTGCTGCTGCTGATGCTGCTGCTGCTGCTGCCCCTCCTCCTCTCCCTCCCCCTGCTGATCGCTGCTCCGCCCCCTCTCCCTCCCCCTGCTGCTCTCCCCCCCTCTCCCTCCCCCTCCTGCTCTCCTCCCCCCTCTCGCTGCCCCTCTCCCTCCCCCTCTTCCTCCCTGCTGCTGCTGCTGCTGCTGCTGCTGCTGCTGCTGCTCCTCTCCCTCTCCTTCCTCCTCCTCCTCCTCCTCCTCCTCCTCCTCCTCCTCCTCTAATGTTAAGTCGGGCTTGTCCTCTACAGGAGAAGTATCGGGACTATTTTTCGACCATGTTTGGACTATGTTTGAGCATTGCTGTTTTTCTCATTATTCGCCCAACATCCGCTTGTAGGGGTGACACGCCCGACCTAACTCTAATGATGATGGCGATCATGCTGACGATGCTGCTGATGACGATCCTGCTGATCATGATTGCGACGACGACGACGATGCTAAAGACGACGACAATGACGATGGTGATGATGCTGCTGATGATGATCATGAAGAGGATTACGATTATGAGTATTATAATGATGGTGATGATGATTACGATGACGATGCTGACGATCGATGGTGCTGATGATGATTATGATGACGATGTTGACGCTGATAATGATGATAATGATGATGTTGATGCTGCTGCTGCTGATGATGATGATGATGCTGATGAGGATGATGATGATGATGACGAAGACGATGACGATCACGACACCGATCACGATTACGATGATGATGATGATGATGATGATGACGATGATGATGTTGATACTAATAGTGATGATGCTGATGATGATCACGATGACGATGATGATAATTATGATGATGCTGATGACGATGATGATGATGATGATGATGATGATGATGATGATGATGATGATGATGATGATGATGATGATGATGATAATGCTAATGATGCTGATGACGACGACGATAGTGATGACGACGACGGTGGTGATGTCGTCGTCATCGTGGCGGTGATGGACAGACATTCGGTGCCCACCATTCTTATCAACATCGCGCTCGTCCTCCTCCTTCTCCTCTTCCTCTTTCTCCTCCTCCCCCCCTCCTCCTTCTGCTCCTCCTCCTCCTCCTCCTCTTCCCCCCCCCTTTTTCCGTCGTGGCGTTTCTGTGAGGGGGGGGTGTAACCAAATTCGGTTACGATGGCAGGGTCCAGGGGTCCTTCGGAGGGGAAGGACTCGTAACCAAATTTGATTCAGGTTGCAGTGGGTCCAGGGGCCCTTCCGAGATGGGGGGGGGTCTTAACCAAATTTGGTTACGATGGCAGGGGCGGCAGGGGGTCCAGGGGCCATTCCGTGTGAGGGGGCCGTAACCAAATTTGGTTACGAAGGCAGGGTCCAGGGACCCTTCGAGGAGGGAGGCCGTAACCAAATTTGGTTTGGCAGGGTCCAGGGGCCCTTCCGACTGGGGGTGGGACCGTAACCAAATTTGGTTACGGTGGCGGGGGGTCCAAGAACCTTTCCAGGGAGGGGGCCGAAACTTGGCGGTCAGAGCCATCTGTCGGAGGCCTCGTGGAAACGGTGAGGCCCCAGTAGCCTCGCGGACGGGCGTCGCCAGCTTCCCCCCGAAATTGTCCGGTTACCTCTCGGGGCATCCGCGGGAGTCAGTGGCATCGCGGAGGCTCCTGGAGATCCCAGGGGCCTCGGGGTCCTTCTGATATATCAATATGTGTATAAGTTTACACACATATATTGTGTATGTCTACATGTACGTATGTAAGTGCATGTATGTGTATACATTTGGGTAACCATATATACAAACTCTGTCTCGAGTATGCTGAGATCTCCAGAGCGTGGACGATATGCCCCCAGTCCCAAAGAGCTGGCTTCTATGTCACACACTGTCGGCCGACATGCGTCTCGCATCATGGAACCCATGTCGCTGCAGGATTCTGACAAACGCCTGGAGATTTCTCGCGAGATGGAACACATCGACGCTGTCCCCCTCTCAGGCACACAGACCAAGACCTCCGAAGCCTACGAGACCCACTCCACCACCGAGTTCCTTATCCTGAAGTTTGGATGGCACCGCACGAACAAAAACACTACAGACAACATGTCCTGCGGCACCGAGATCTGGCTGAGCCGAAGATGGTTCAACAAAAACGCATATCGCTAACATATGGCAGCCGCCACACTCACTCCGATGTCGTGTAGGCGCAGCACGCGTCAAGAACTCTCATTTTGACGACACATGTATCATTGCATACTTTCCCCCGGTATTGCAGCTCATCAACACCGCAGTTAAGAATGAACTTATCACCGACAATATACTCGCTTAGTTGCACGACATTCTGTCCCACCTACCGAACCGCACCTGCGTGTTCATAGGCACCGATCTGAACGACGGCCTCCAGAATATCGGCAACCCTGATGAGGACGACGCTACGGCTGGTTTGCATGCATACGGTCAGCAGCACTACGCGGGCGAAACATTCCATATGGTTATGAGGGACTTTGCCCTGTGTGCCACGAGTACTCATCATCCTTGTGGCCCAACGTATCATGGGCTCAGAGGACACACGAGCTACATCGACTACCATGTGATGCCGGTCCGCTAC